GTGGCCACAGCTTGCAGGGTGGCAATCATGTTTTCCATTTGGTCTCTCAGAAATGACAGACATTTTAGACACAAGTTTTACTCTGATTTGGCCACCATGAACACCCTTTTGTTAAATATCAGGTCACTTATTTGGAGTGACTGGAGAAGGTTGAGCAGTGCTCGGCACAAGAGATGTGCCAGGAGTTGTGTTTTCAATACTTGTGGTGCCACGGTGAGAATGGCGAAGTCCACGACTCAGAAGATCTGTATCGAGACTTGGCTGATGGGCCCCTGCCCCCTGTGAAGATCATGTTCGACACAGCCCGCTGGAACAGGAGGCGTGGACTCGACACCAGGCTCCGACCCAGACAGGCTTATTGGACCAATTATCAATAATTTTGAAATCTGTAGAACAATCTCTGTTAATTTGACGTAAGGTCGAATAGACTGGAGCTTCTTTCTGTCAAAAAAAAAAAAAAAAAAAAGCTGGAGCTTATTAGGAGCATAGCAGCAGGACTAGATGGTCAATCCTATATGGCGCCTATTGGTGAAGAGGTCTTTCTAGCTATGAACTCCAGAAAGGGGGTAGGGTACGCTGTTTGGAACTGTGGTTTCATTCAATGTCTTGAAAGGGACGCTGGACCCGGTTTCCAGCAAGTGCTGCTCCCCACTAATAGAATGGAGCCATTGAAAAAAAAAAAAAAAAAAAAAAAAAAAAAAACCATCCACGGCCTCTTGCACATCACCTGCACAACGGCGTCAGAATTCTATTGTGCCACAATTCTTTTGTGTGTCAGAATTCTATTCTCTCCTACCGCTAGTGGAATAGAGCTCTTCTCTGTCTGATCACAAAGTTGTGGTTTCGCTCCCCTGGCCCAGAAAAACAGAAAATTTGTGGCATAAGACTCATACCTTTCTCGGCCTTTTGGCTAAGATCAAGTGTAGTATCTGTTCTGGTCAGTTTAATATCTGGTCCGTGGTCCATCGGGCCACAACGGTATTAAATTAATTTTTCTGGGCTATGGAGGGGTCATTCGGGTAAGCTTGCTTGCTCGATCCCTCCAGCGTTGCCTCTGTATTGCACTGCAGCAGAGTGCGACGCAGCCCTCCTCCCCTGAGGGAAAAAAAAAAGAGAAAAGAGAGGAACGAGTGACCGGTCACTGACGATGATGTTGAACTGTAAAAAAATAAATAAAAAAATGGAACAATTCAACAATGATAATTTCTGTTCCTAGGTTGCTCAGCATCTTACTGTGCACAAACATAGATCGCAAAAAAAACAAAAGAAAAAAAGACTCCGAGGGTGGTTGTCATATGTCTACCATCCAGCCTCCACAACAACCTGGACTTCTGAAAAAAAAGCAAAAACAAAGATTCCAATGATGCAGTGATGGCGATTTTATAAGTACGACTAGTAGTATGACAAGTTGTAGTAGTAATACTCGCAGTGGCCCACCCCTTTATGGGGCCGCGACTGGTTGGGACTGTGAAGTGGGGTGGAAAAAAGGGGAAGTGCGTGGGCGTGGCAGAAGGTTTGGGTAAAGAAGGCTGGTCGAATGAACGGACGTAGTAAGACTCCTGGTGGCCCACTCCCTTATTATAGGGCCACGACTGGTTGGGACTGAGAGGTGTGGTGGAAAAGAAGGGTTAGTAGTGCGTGGTCGTGCCAGAAGGTTTGGGCAAAGAAGGCTGGTTGAATGAACGTACGGGGCTGGCACCACCTGCTCCCAAGTTATGTTCAATTCAGTGGAGAGGGATTGCTCAAATACAAGCACACACCCAGCCCACATGGCGGACGTACACACATGTAACTGTCTGCAAACAGATCAGATGCTGTACCATTCGGCCATGCGGGCTGCCTGCGTGTCTTTTTTCTTTTTCTGATTGAAAGACCAGTTTGCTGTACCATTCGGCCACGCAGCACTCGTGTCTTTTTTTTTTGTTTTTTAATTGAAAAACCAGTTCCTTCCTACTAGGGACGGTGGTACGAGCAGAACGGCCGTGGTGTCAGGCCGGGTGTTGTAACTACAGGGGTCGGCCGTGGTGTCAGACGGGGGAAAAAAAAAAGCGGCCAATGGATTCTTTTTTTCTGTTTTTTGTTTTGTTGTAAACTACCCTATATTCTTCTCTCAAATCTTTCATCATCTTTCAAATTCTTTCAGTTCACCTTCACTACCTACCTACCACTACTCCTAAGGCTTATACAGGGGACCCCTGCGAGCACAGCTTTGTTGTCTCCATCCAGCCATCAGAGGGGATGCATGTTGCCCCTCCCCCCCCAACCATGGTGGTCAAGGATGGGGTGGGGCCGCCGGTGGGAGTCCGGCTAATGCAAAGACCGAGCATTTTGGCAGTGGCTGCGCCTCCCTTTTCATCGTCCCCCATCCCCAACCGAATAACAGCAGTATCTAAGGCCAACACTCTCCCACACACAACCCACTCACCCTCACACTCACACCCGTGTTGGCCAAGGACCCTGCTACTACCGATCAGAGGTATTAAGCGGACTATCACCGCTTGTTGGCACTAAGAACACTGCAGGCGGTTGTGGGGCTCGAACCCACAACCTCGTCGAACCCACAACCTCGTCGAACCCACAACCTCCTGATTGCCACTTGCGTGCGTAACCAACTGAGCTACCCAAATTGCTGTTTCAAACTCACGTCGTGCCGCGTCCGCCGTTGTTCCAAGAACGAAAAAGAGCTATCAAATAGCATAGAAGGGGCATGTGTGCCGTTTTGGGTGAAAAACAAAAAAAGAAGGGGTAACTACGAGGCGGTCACAAAAACAGCTTGAAATTGCATTCGGGACACGTTTTTAGCAGTCTAGTCAGGGTTTGAAATGCAGTTCAAACTCGGCCTTGCAGAAGGGTCCCAGCGCAGACTTTGAGACTGCAATCGAGTCACCCCCGGTACCGCCATGTTTGACAGCTACCGCCCCAGGCAGAGGGCGGTCCTCGGGCAGGCAATTGAACTGGCAGACTGGTACCGGCCCAGCCACAAGTGGTCCACCAACGGGCACTACCAGGCCACGGACCGGAGAAGGGCAGTTCTCCCACCATCCTTCTCTCTCTCTCTCTCTCTCTCTCTCTCTCTCTCTCTCTCTCTCTCTCTCTCTGTCTCTCTCTCTCCCGGCCCCCGCACCGGCCCCATCCATTCTTCTCTCTCCCCCATTGCTTCTTTCTCTCTGTTTCTTCAGTTGTCGCTCTACACAGTCACATGAATTTCATAATGCACGTGGCGCTGCTAATTGTTTGGATACATTCGAGATTTGCAGGCCGAAAGAATCTGGTCTGTGGACTGCGCCAGTTGCATTCACACAGAGGCATTCACCCTGTTCCATCGATGCCCTCTCTCTCTCTCCACCCCGTTCCCGATCCCAGCACTTCTGCTTCCTCGTATGTAGCATAGCACAAGCTTGGTGAATGTCGGAGACACACACACACACACACACACACA